AGTTATTGCATGTTATTTTGTAAATGACGTTGGAATTGTGTGATTCTAAATAATTTTTGTTTAGTAACTATTTTAATTTAGGGCCGGGTTTTTGTGAAAATTTGACGTTGACAGGAATATTGTGCTTAATGGCTAGTTTTGTCCAAATGTGGATAATTCTTGAGCTGGTTTCAGGAACAAAAGGTAAACTGCAGTGTAATGTACTGTTGTTGGGTTTGTTGGTATCAGTTTTGTTCGTGAGTTGAGTTTTGTTGTGGGGAATGTTGGAGAGTTTTTCAACAATAGCTGGTGGGGATTTATTGGTGTGAATGAAGGAATGCTTTATGTAGTTAATTTCTTCATTTATGTAGTCAGTTGAACAGAGTCTTGTGGCTGTGTTTATGAGGCTTTTAAGTGTATTGATTCTTTGTGTGGTGTCATGAGCGGAATTCCAGGGGATGTAGAGACCAGTGTGTGTGTTTTTGCGGTGAATTTTGGTTTTAAACTCAGTGTCCGATCTAATAATTTTGAGGTTAAAAAAGGATAACTGTTTATTGTTTTCGTGTTCTAGGGTAAATTTGATGTTGGGATGGTTAGAATTTATGTGTTTAAAAAAAGTTAGTGTGTGTTCTGTAGAAGTGAAGCCAGCAAAAGTGTCATCGACATATCTGTACCGGTATAGTGGGGGATGAAGCGCAGAATTTATGGCTTGTGTTTCGATCTGGGTCATAAATATTTTGGCAAGAACAGGCGAAACAGGATTGCCCATACTTAAACCATCTATTTGAAGGAAATGTTCGTTGTTGAAAATGAAGTTAGTTTTAGTCGTTGTAAATTCTAAGAGATAAGCAAAAAGTGTGCTGGGTATGTGCATTAACTTGTTGGGGTCATTAATGTAGGGGTTGAGTGCAATATTGCAAGCTTCATTGCCGAGGACTTCGGTGAAGAGTGACACGACATCAAAACTGGCCATTAAGGATTAGAACTGATTAATAGAATACCTTAAGTTTTGCTATTTTTATTTTCTTTATTTTTCTATATGGTTGATAACCTTATGTAGTACACATTATTATTGTTACATCTTTTATTACAGTCTAATATATGATGAACAAGTGACGATTGGGTATAATGATGTAACGTTAGATTGGGTATAATGATGTTAATCTACTGATGTTATGTTAGATTGGGTATAATGATGTTAATCTACTGATGCTATGTTAGATTGGGTATAAAGATGTTAATCTACTGATGTTATGTTAGATTGGGTATAATGATGTTAATCTACTGATGTTATGTTAGATTGGGTATAATGATGTTAATCTACTGATGTTATGTTAGATTGGGTATAATGATGTTAATCTACTGATTCTAGTTAGATTGGGTATATTGATGTTATTCTGCTTTAATGAACACGAAAAAGTTCCATGCCCACCACTACACATTTTAATAAAACACTGCAATATGTTCCTGTCCTGTTGTTCATAACGTGTTATTTACTCCGAAAAAAGCTCTCAAACCAAGTTATATGTACATATTTTGTATGTGTGTATGTGATTAGAAATATTTCTTTGTTTATTCTTTGTTGTTGAAATGTAAATAAGACAAAGTACTCCAACTGTTTACTCACTATCTAACACATGTTCGTGAAAGATATTATTGCCATTTGTTTATTAAATTAAAGTTATTTCTCTCACTGATACTCTCTAAAGGCTGAATTTTTGCTTTTTGTAACTTCCTGTTGAAGTTGATATATAAATCAAAGGGTTTTCTTGATATATAAAACGCATGCGGTAAGTTTTGTAACAGCACTTACTCAAGTGTTTTCTCCCACAATTAAAAGTTTATATACTATATGTTATGAACATTAAATTACCAAAGTTAAAGCAAAGAAAATTTTACAAAGTTTTTTTTTTAAAATGCAAATGAAACTCAAGTTAAAACTTAGTTTATATTTATTTCATATATTGGGATAGCCTTACTCTGATCTTTTATTCAGAATATTTTTGATGAAGTTTTCTCAACTACATAAATTTTGACTTCCATACTGTATAAGATGTACAGAAATTAGACACATTTAGTAGTTCAGTTACAACCAGGCCAAACTATGTACGACTACAACAAAAAAATGTTAAGCCTGGAAAAGTTGACTAATTAAATTTCTAAACTTTATGATAGTGTTCATGTAGAAATATTGTCTACCATGGAAAATTCTGTAATAATTATATACAATCTCTAATATTGTAAAATCAATAAATTTTGATGGTGTTTAGTATATACATTCTGTAATATTGTAAAATCAATACATTTTGATGGTGTTTAGTATATACATTCTGTAATATTGTAAAATCAATAAATTTTGATGGTGTTTAGTATATACATTCTGTAATATTGTAAAAACAATAAATTTTGATGGTGTTAAGTATATACATTCTGTAATATTGTAAAATCAATAAAATTTGATGGTGTTTAGTATATACATTCTGTAATATTGTAAAATCAATAAATTTTGATGGTGTTAAGTATATACATTCTGTAATATTGTAAAATCAATAAATTTTGATGGTGTTAAGTATATACATTCTGTAATATTGTAAAATCAATAAAATTTGATGGTGTTTAGTATATACATTCTGTAATATTATAAAATCAATAGATTTTGATAGTGTTAAGTATATACATTGTTAGATTTTTCTACATA